TAACAGGCTAAAAATAAAAGGCTTTTCTACCTATCCCATAGGCTTGTCAAAATTTCATATCTCTTGCGACTAATGAATTTAATATTGCCGTTTAAAAGAAAATCTTTATCATCGTCTTCGTACTTCCCAGGTCAGGTTTACCAGAGTGGATTGTTGTTTGGCACTGAGGTTATTGGCACATAATTGCTATGCTGTATTGCTCACCAGTAGATATCTCCCTGTCTAGGGTATTGTCTTCCTGAACGTTTTCAGTAATTCAAATAGAATCTCAAATTCAAGATTTTATAGGGGGTGTGAAATAATTTTAAATGGTTATCTAGAGCTTTGCTGCTGTGCCAGACATCCCCAAAAGCTGGGCTCAGGGGAATATGCAGCAAAAATCTATTTAACCCAGTTGCAATTTCTTTTGCTTTGCAGTTTATCTAGAAACATTGCCAAGAGAAAAGAAGATAGTGTACGTATGAATTGGATTCCTGCTAGTGGGAGACAGTGCAAGGGTTGTATCTCTTGGGACTCAGGAAACAGTCAGTCAGGCCATATTTATTCTCTTATTGCCTTGGCATTGTGTTATGGTAGGTAAATGCTGTTTTTTACCCCTGTCTGCATCTACAAGGGAGCCTTCTGGATTGGGATTTCACTGTGGGACACAAACTGGATTGGTGACTTTCTCTAGGCTGGGGTTCCTTCCCAGCCAAAGCTGTCCCTCTAATAACAAGCCAGTCCCTTTCCCTCAACAGAACCTGCAAGGCAAGTGCAAAATTGCCACTTCAGTAACCCAGGTTTCTTTTATAATTGCTTACATACAAAAAGCCCCAGGAGGATGCTGCTTTATTGCTTACGTTCCAGGGTTTTCCACTAAATATCTGTATATTTAATAGCATTTTCAAAAATACATTGAATTTTCTTTTAGTAAGGCAGTAACAGCTTATAGCACAGAGCCAAATTGCTAGTAAGGAAATGCACATTAAACGAACATTTCAATGTTATTAAAAATAATGTGCAGCCTTTGAAAAATGCAGGCCTAATACGATTTTGGAAAACAAATGAGGAGCTCCAATAAGTTTACAGCCGTTGAATGCCTCCAAGTAATGATCGTTGCTGACATTTTCATGCTTTATTTTTAATTGCTGCAGCTAATAATGCTAATGAGGTAAGAATGACAATGGCTTAGGCATAACAGTGGCAATAGTGAAGAGGAGAGAGTTGAGTCGGCAGCAGCTCTGCTGGGCCCCTGTCCTGCCTTGTCCTTCCCAGGTGGAGACCTGAGGTGCTCTAAGCCTCAGAGTTCCTCCTCCCTGTGCAGCCACAGGGAAGGGGATGCAGAAGGGACCTTTGGGAGTGACAGCCCACCAACAAAGGAAGCCACCCTTGTCTGATGTTTCGTTCTGGTGTGCCCAGCATTGGAGCACTGCTTGGGACTGTACCAGAATGGAAAGCAGCTTCCTCTTTAATCCTCGATGCAGAATTGTTCTCTTGAAAGATTGAAAGCAGATTGTTCTCATGAAAGGTAGTGTGGACTTGTGCTTTGATTTAGGGGGCCTGCTGCTGGATTTATGTGGTGTGTAATTAAAACCTCTAAACTTGCTGATTCAGCCACAGTTATGACCCTGATTTGATCGCTGTATTGTTCCATTCCTAATCCTTTAGTGAGGTTAGAGTAGGTTAATCTTAGTGAAATGTTTGCTTAATTCTACCCTAGTTCATTTGTTCTCTTAATAAAATCTGCATAAAGAATGGTGAAATAGTAATTCTTTCAGCTTGTTCCAATTACTCTGAGAGCAAAGCTAATTCAGCTGAAGGAGCTTAAGAGCAACTTGACTGTGTTTCTACAGTTGAGGCTCTGTGCTAACGAGATGAGTCACCTTCTCTGCTCTGGAGCAGTGTTGATATGTTCCTCTGGTTAAAATCTGGAATGTACCCATGTCTAGTTCTCGGATGTTGCACGACTTTTTCTCTAGTCTCATGCCTTGCTGCCTACTCCTCCCAGGCTCAGTGTTTCTGCCACTTTTGCTCCTCTTCTGGACTGCTGCTGCTCCCGTGGTCCATTAGCAAAGCAGAAGAAACGGAATTGAGTTTATGGGTGTTCATTACATCCATTGTGAGATGCAAAAGGCTTTTTCTGTTGGCCCTGCTTTATCAGAAAGGCTTTTTCTATTGACTCTGTCTCATCAGACAGGACTTGTGGCTAAATGCCCCTTTGGTGTGACACAATATGGTTATCCTTATGGTCCTCTGTGATTGTTAGTGAGGCATCCCATTTTTGCAGGCTTGAGTGGTCCTGAAAACCAGAAATCTAGATTTCTTCTCTGACGTCTGTGTATATAGACATGAGGAAGGAGAAGGCAGTGTCCCTCTGTTCTTCATAGACCACTTCAGAAGCTGGGAAAGTAGGGCAGTGGTGTAGGAGAGCTTATTTGTAGTGACTCTGGTTTTGCCAGAAGATCTTTCACAGCTGACACATCTTTAGCACACAGAGGGAATGCCAGCTGCCAAACTGCATGCAAGCACAAACCCAGCCTCACCCCTTGTCAGGTATGGATGCTAGGCAGGGGTTGGTGGGCAGCAGAATAAGGCTTTTTTTCTGCTGTGCTAGATGTTCACCAAGTATTGGCGAGGGAGTACACTGTAAGCAGGAGGGGTATCTTCCTACCTCTGTGCCACAGAGCTTGCTTCATAGCAGCATGCAGGGGTGAGGAACTGAAAAAGGGGAAAAGGAGGCTATGGGAAGAGAAGCACAGCTAGTGGATCTGGAGTGACCTCAAGATCAAAGACTTGCATATGCAGAAAGGTCTAGCAATGGCTTTGGGATATATTCCACCTTTTCTGGAAGCGTTTCTCCTTTGCACTTGGTCTTCATGAGATGATCCCATCTCATGAACATACTGAGGCTTATGCCTAGGCATCTTCCTCTGGAGTATAAATACTAATAACATGGCATCCATTAGGCATACAACTCTTCTCAGAGGAGCATGACAGATGGATGTGTTGCCAAAATGGAGGGAAAAGGCAAAAAACCATGTCTAAATGGAAAGAAAAGAATCTAAAAAGTGAAACCTGAGCAGGGGGTATCTGTGCAGACTGCAGCGCCGGGCTATCACAGCAAGCACTTGGCACACAACAGAGTGATGTCTGAGCAGAGAGAGAACTAGAATCATTTTTACCCTCTGCTAAATGAAGCTTCTCGGTAGAAATTAAAGCTGCTTTAATTTTACGATACCTTGAGGGGCCCAATCCGATCTCAGCATTATTACAGTGTTGGGAAGACTCGGCTACAGACGTCTGCTTTTCCTCTTTGTTTCCAGCCATGCTTCTAAACCCCACTAGAGGTGAAGCTGCTGTGCATGAGCTTGTGCTGGCTTCATTGCACGGGGCGGGGATTTGCCCTGGTACCTCAGAGAGACACTCACAGATGGATAAGATGGCTCTTCGGCTGGAAGAGGAGGCCTGGCTGAGGTGTACTAGCAGAGTAATAAAAGCCTCAAAACTCAAGGCAAGATGATGGCAAGAAAAGGTTCAAAGAAGCATGACGATCTGTGGCTTCTGAACAACAGGGAGCTCCCACCGCGGTGAGCAGAAAACAATACCATATTGGCTGGGGTGCTTTGCTGCCAGGAAAGCCACTTTACAGACCACAGGAGAAATCTCTCAAATGTGCTCTGACTTCTGCACTTGTTTGGTGAGCCAAGTCACAAGTCCCTTACTTGCTTCTTACTTATATCATGCCCTAAAGCATTACAGAAGAGTGAAAAAAAGACTTAAGCCCTGAGAAGAGAGGGCAGAATGATGTTAAACGCAATTTTATTTGGGGGCCAAGGAATCACTCTCTTCCTGCTCTGTGGATAGTGAATGCATTTAATAGAGTAGGAGAAAACACATATGACTGGGTCCTTCCCTAGGAAGACAAGACCTACTTGTGATATACCCCTGCTCCGCACAGCTGTCCCAAACTCTTTTTACTATTATCACTTCCTCTCCTCTGCAGAAACACAAAGACAACTGAAACAAGCATAGTCAGAAAGACCTCTGAAGTGTGGTTTGATTTCGGCACTAAATCTCCCTTTGACGGCTCACAGCGGCACTGTATTGCCAATAGATTATAGCGTTGCAGCTATTTTCTACACAGGAGAACACACAAAGGACCCCCCACCAGCCCTAGCAGTGCTCTCAATCAAATAAAAACCCTTTAGCTTCCTGTTGCAGAGCTCTCTCTTGGTTTCATGTATATTTTATCAAAGTTACATGCAGTTCTGATACTTGTTTCTAAAGTGCTTTAGTATGAATCCCAAGATGTATTGAAATGCTGCAGTGGCCCTTTTTAAAAAATCAAGGTTAGAGCAGAGAAAAAATGAAATGGCTTGACTCCATAACATGTAATAAGAGCAAATTCTGCTCAACAGGCTTCTATTGATATAAATAAGCAGAAGAAACACAAACGTACATCTATATGAAATCATTTCGCTCCTTGAAATTGTACTCTGGGAGCAGCAGGAATAAAGAGGAGCTCCACAGTTTCACCTCTCATAAATGAAGGTCCTGCAATGATCTAAAGCTATTTTTTTTGCCAGAAGTGCTTTTACAAGCCAACACACACATCAACATGTAAGAGCTATACCCACAGTGGTAACCAATTGCGGTGAAGATAGTTAATAACTATCTGGAATAAGAAAAAAAAAAAAAAAAAGCTTTTATTTGCCAATTGGATTTTTGCTTTTTTTTTTTTTTAAATTTATTTTATGTCTTAGGATAAGCTGCGAGGGAAAAACATTGCAATGTTCTTTTCAGAAGAAGGAGGTATGCATTCTTTAAGCTGTGTTTCATGACTCCTTTGTCTTTCAGACAAATTTGGAATTTTAGATCAAGAAGAATGGACAGAAAGCATGTTCTGGCTACAGTATAGTAAGGCATTTAGGTTGAAGTCAGCAACAGCCAGTGTGGTGGAAGGGTGATTTAAAAAAAAAAAAAAGAATTCATTTTGTATGTAATAAAGCTTTAGTACTTACAGCTGTCCTCTTCTTCAGTAATACATTTCACAACATAACAGGCATAGATGAAGCCCGCCAGCTGAAACAAAATGTAATAGCATTAGACGTAAAGCAAATACAATAGAAAAACAGAGTTGGTTTTAGGAATGCAACATCAGAAACAGATATAACAAAATTCACCGGACCCTGTTTGATGAGGTAACGATAATTCTTCACAACAGTTTGTAAATTTTAATTGGAAAGTGGCATTGGAATTTTGCATCTTTCTTGAAAAACCTACCCTGCAATAAAACTTCCAAAAACTGATCAAAATTTTTCCATTACTGAATCGACCTTTTTAATTATCAAAAACCTGAAAACCAAACGAGTGGTTGGATGGTGGACTTTTAGCCACTGAAAACGTAAATATTTCTGTCAAAATAAGATTTTTTTAATCCCGTAAAACCTGACATTCTAGCAGAACTCTGTTTTCAGCGAAGCCTTGCCAACTAAACCAAGGATGAATTCAGTGCACTTGTAACCCGAGTTTATGGTGGTATTTTATCACTTGAAATTAGGGCTGTGGATTAGTGGGACTTGTTTCTGTATCTGCAATAGCTCCCTAGCCTTCAAGACATGGCTAGCACATTGGATAGGTCTGGATGTGTTTACTTCAGCGTCTCATGCTGCAGCTGGCACATTTGTATCTCATTCCCTTTGTTCCTCTCCTCAGAGCATGCCCAGAAGTGAATCGTAAACAGAAGCAACATGATTTGAAATAAACGAAAATCTGGAGTGATTCTTGAGTACCATGGTAGATTGCTTATCTTACATTATCACCTGAAAAAAGTGAAAAAAGGGAATAAATGGTCAATATCACACATGCCATGGGCCAAGTATCATGTAAGTTCTCTGCTAGTCCCTCCAAGTTCAGTCATCTCTAAGAAGTTACAGAAGAAATACTGGAGGAGCAGCATGAGCCACTTGGTGCTTGCTTTACGTGGCTTCCTGTAATGTAATAATCTGCTTCTGTATATGCAGATCCGGAGCAGCATGAGCCACTTGGTGCTTGCTTTATGTGGCTTCCTGTATATGCAGATCCAGAAAATTTTCTCTATTGATGGGCAACAAACCGTTTTTCATCCTTTAGCTCATGACTGAAGTTTGCATGGTAGGACGTCAAAAGAATTCAGGCTGTTTGATATCTTTGTAGTGAAAAGTGGACCATGCTGTTGAAATGTGTTACTCTGTACAGGTCACCTCACAGAGATCTTTTCGGGAGCTGTAAACCCAACTGTAGACTTTGGGAATTAGTTCTTTATATGGATAATAAAAATGCCTAACGGCTTCAGCCAGGACTGAGCTCTCTGTGTTCTTGGTGCAACATGCATAATCTTTGGCTGAAGCAGATAATGATCTTAATTTCAGACAAATTAATCACTGGGTGAGACAGTAAAAAGGGTGAAATCTCAGAGAAGACCATATATTTTTATGAATATTGGTTAGTACAAATGGATTTTTTTTTCATTAATCGATGGCACACCTACAATCACTGAAATATTGTAGGTTCTTAGAGCCCTCAATATTAGCTGTAGACATGAAATGCAAACAAATCTATTTTGTTTCCTAGTGCCTTCATACCCAAGGCAGTGACTGTGTCTAATTTACTCCAGCTCTTGTACATATATTCCTTGTATTTCTCTCAGTTTTCTATGTAGAAAGCTCTCCATACTGACAAATGCTAGCTTCTAACACCTATAAGGGTGAGAGATGGCAAAAGAAAGAGAAAGAAAAGGCCAGCCCCAAGACTCTTCTGAAGAGATCAAGACTTGATTTGGAGATCACACTGCAACTGGCATGGATGTTGTCTGCTAACTGCTTAAGTTCCTGTCAGGAGCCCAGGAGCTGCATTACAACAGAACTAAATCATTAATTTTGTCATTTAATATAAATTTGCCTTATAGTGCTGCTGGGAAGATTTTACACCTGGGAAGGATGAAATATTCACCACTGGACACAAAGAACACACTGTATCAAGAACAGTGGCATTCAGCTAATATCAGCATTTCATCCCTGTTTTATTGGATCACTGTTCCTTTTGGTTTCTTGGCTTCAAGACAGAGGGCTAATTTGCTCCTCTCACTTATGTCCTGCATAACCCCATTGACTTCAGTGACATGACACGAGGTTTAATTCAGCAACAAATTAGGCCCAGAAAGGTTGTCCATAAATGATTCCATTCTTGGTCGTGAACCTTGGCTTAATAGCTTTTCTGTTCCCTTTTTACAGACCATCAGATCCAAGATAGCTGAATAGTTGCATCTCTAGTAGGCGACTGCAATAGTATAGCTTTTCTTGTAATACAGTTCAATACTTCACTATCTGCTAAAACACCCCACGTTCACATGTTATTAACTAAACTTCTCTCACAAAGCACAGCAAACAAACTGTATCACAAACTGTGCTTACAACTGATCTTTTAATTGTATTCAGTTGCATCCTTTAAATGTCTAGGGAACTCCTTTGATATATAAGTAAATCCTACAGCATTTCATCAGATGAGCTTGCTGATTAAAAGAGTGCCTTAAAGCTAGAAATTGTTCTGTTCTAAATACAAATGGAAGATTGTTTCCCATGAGATAATCAGAGTTCATAAAATAAACCTTCCCTTCTCCCATATTTATCTAACCCTTTGCTTGGTACACATAATAATTTTGTTTTAATTTGAACATCACATTAGTTTTTTTTGTTTTTCTCTTCTTTAATGAAGCACTTTATCAATTCTGATCCAGTGACAGCTATTCAAGATTTATCTTCTAATTGCAGCAGCAGCAGAGGGCACACACCGTTCAGAACTGATGGCATCAGTTTTCACTTTGAGGATGCTCATGGCCTGAGACCATGGTGAACACCATCCCAAAACTCCCATCTCTGGGGTGGAGACCAGGAACATTCTGGACTCGGATGTCTGTGTAGCTCATCTACTCACATGGCAGAGATTTCTTGAGGACCAGTCAGCTAATTAATGTCAGTTAATGGATTCCCACACAGACGAAGGGCTCTCACAAATTTTTCCACCTTTGTTATAGTGCAAGATGCATTTCTTTGACCTTGTTTCTCTAAGAAAAACACATTGCAATGTACCTACGTACAGCACAAACTAAATAAAATAAATTCCAAACTAAACACTCCACTGAACATACTCCTCCCGCTAGAGAAGAAGATGTGAGAAAAAAACCAACAAACCCAAATGATAGAGGTTAATCACATCACTTGATATATTCCTGGGAAGCCCCCAAACACAGCACCGCCGAGCGCAGGATGAGAATTCCTGATTCAGTATCACAGGATGATTTTTTTCTCACATGAGAAGGAAGGGAATGAGTCCTCAGAGATAAAGAAGAGGAAGAGCCTGACTACTTTCTCAGAAAATCAGTTTAAACTAGGAAAGCTAGATTGAAAACTCTTGTTGCTTTGCATCCCCCCTCCAAAGGGAATGAGTCCTCAGAGATAAAGAAGAGGAAGAGCCTGACTACTTTCTCAGAAAATCAGTTTAAACTAGGAAAGCTAGATTGAAAACTCTTTTTGCTTTGCATCCCCCCCCCCCCTTTTTTTTTTTTTTTTAAAATTAACCAAACTTGCTCTTATAATCCACGTAGCAATAAAAAGAAATAGGTGCAATGAACAGATCAGTTCTGGATCTCACACCCATTCAGATTAGGTGTCTACATCTGTCCCATTCACATTTTAATGCTGTAGTATGGCCCTCCAGAGGAGAAGGAACCATTAACAACACTCCTGCTCACTTATACATATAGTGATTAGTGAATGCATGTTTTTATGAACCTCATTTTCTGCAGCTTGAAAAAATCTGTTCTTTACTACTTTCCCTGATGTGTCCATATGAGAGTATAACTGAACATTGCTCTTTCTAAAAGCCACACATTGCTTATCCCTGCACCAGCTCCCTAGGTGTTACTTTGATGGGATTTGATGGCCATTTTTATATACAGAGATCTCAAACACTTAAAATTTTTTTATTTTTTTTTTCCCCTCTATAAACACCTCAATAAAACCATCATTCCTTTTGTCAAGGAAAAAACAAAGACAAGCAAAAACCTAAAATAAGTTAGCAGTATAACAGCACTACTAATAGTTTGGCAATGAGATTAATTACAGAATTAAGTTAATGCATCATATTGCCTAATTAGAGCCACATAAGGCAAACAGAAAAGCAGACAGAATATTCCCTATCCAAGTCAGCAGTCTCCTCTTACACTGCTACAGACTCTCAGCAGATCCTGAGTTTTCTGTGAATTTACTTCCAGACTTGTTCAAAATGTCAAGTGCTGTGATCAAACTTAATCAGAATCAGTATTGATCAAAATCCTGTCTGGCTATTTTTTTCTCACCTCTTTTATGGTGATGAATGTTTTCATACACTGCAAATAGCACCAGATTTTGGAAAAAGGCTATTATATGAAACCCCATCATTCCTGGCCAAAGCCCCCATCTTTCCCTCCTTTAAAGCGATATCTGTATGGATAATTATTAAGGGTTATCTTTATAAAGCCGGACACCTTATAATAAAAGAATGACAGCAATGAAGAAACAAAAACTAAAAGCGGGTAAGATCTGAGTGGGATAAGGTGATGAGGAGAAGGCCTAAGATGAAGATGGATGAGTTAAGGTTTATGGAAATACTACATGGTCTTGGCTTCACTGAATGAGTGTGGTTTATAACTGGATTTTGTCAGGAGAAAAGGACTTTAGCCTAAAAAAACACAAAACCATTGTATTTTCCCATGGAAAGATATTATAGTATCTTCTGAAACAGCTGAGGCTTGTGTATTTACTTTTCATGACTAAGTTTTTGCAGGATTCAACAAATACTGTGGTTTGAAGACCTTAGCAAAAAATGGGCTAGTTCAAGCAGTAATAATGCAGAATTACATGGAGGTTAATTTTGGCCCTAGGAATTTTATATTGCAAAGCTGTGCAATCTAACCATATTTCTTACGCTTACAGGAGGCTGCACGTATAAAGCCTTTTTAACGCTGTACATTTAAGGAACAGTGTTTCTTTAAAATGGATTTT